CATCTGGGAAATCAAAAGCTTCTAAATGTAACTCTCCTGGTTTGCAGCAACTTGCCAGTGATCAACCTGTACTAGGAAACTTATTTGATCTTAATGCGGACGTGACTGCTGCTGCTTCAGCTGCATTGACTGCAATCATGAAAAGCACTGAGGAGGGAAGTTTGGTCGATACTGGTTTGCTCATTAAAATTCTTAGTGACCCAAAAATGATCCAGAAATTGAGTAATGAATCCGGACCACAGGCCAATGCAGGACTTGCACCCATGCCAAAGACATTAGTTCCATCAATTCCCTCATCTCATCCAAAATCTGATATGCAAGGGACAGCTGCAGGTGGAAACTTCTGCCCTATGCCAGGTACAGTGGGAACTGCTTTGAATACAATCCCTCATCAGCCAAATAATGTTCAACAATCCAGGTTGAATCGACCAACACCACCGCCTCCTTTGCCCAGCCCCAAATCCAACTTCTTTATGTTGCCTAGCCTGCCAAATCCAAACCAAGCACAACCCCCGCACCCCCCTTTAAGTGCAATGACTCAACCGAACAGACCTCCATTACCGCCATTCCCTTCAAGTGCAATGAATGATCCAAATAGAGCTCCCTTACCGCTATTCCCAGCCAAAGAAGCCGGACATGTGAAGGATGTGAACTACTTTAAGAACCTCATTATGCAACATGGAGTAGAAATCCAGGACCCATTTATTGCACAAAATGGTAACAATCATAATCACTTGACAGACTTGAAAATGGTTCAAAACTTTAAACGAGGAGAAACGAAACCTTGCAAGAATCGAAAACCTTGCTTGTACTTTAAAAGCTCTAGGGGATGCCGTAATGGAGTTAATTGCACTTTCCAGCATGATACGTCATGCCAATGGCCGACTGGCAGTATCATGGAGGCCCATAGTGCCAAGAGAATGAAACTAACTGGGTTTAATACTGGAAGGATGTGAATAATGGAGCTAAAATCTTGCAAATTTGGCCCATCTTTACATTTCTTTTCTACACAAGTTTTGTGCACAGCTTGGGGTAAATTTGAGACCTCGAGACACAGGGTAGGTAGGTAGTTTTTCCAATGACTCGGGCAATTTTTTAAGATTAATGAAAGTTACTTTTCAGAGAAAGTGCTTTTGTTCTGCTTATGTTTGTTTCTGAGCTCCTAACCTCTCTGCGCACTTTATCTGCACAATTGACGAACCACTCATAATGGAATGGCCCATAAAATGGTAGATCGTTTAACAAAACCCAAACCTGATTCTTGAACTCTCGGCCCAAAGTAGAACTTTTCAGATGAAAAGAAGATCAAAAGAAGAATTGTAAGTGGTATATGTTGACAAGCTTTAATGATCAATGAATAATTATTCATGCATACTCATATTTTATTTTATTTTGAATGTTCAAATCGTTATTTTAAAGCAATGTTACTATCATCCCCTTAATTATTCATCCTATCCACCTTCTGCAAAAGAAAACTTATTGGAATGGCACCCAAGAAAGAAAGTGCTCAACACTAATTAAGTTTTCATGAAACTTTAAAACAAAACATTAAAAGCAGCTACTCCTGCACTGCACCCGAGGTTCTAGGTTCGATTCTTCTCTCCCCCAGTATTGCTTGTATCAAATTAAAGAAAAATGAAAATGAAATTTTTAATAACAAGACTAGCTAGGGTTTGTGTCCCGAAGGAACATGTGTGGGCTAGGAGACATTCTTGATATTTCCTTCACCTCATTTGGCCACTTGTGAAGATACAAAATTGGTTTGTGGGAGTTGTGTGGCACTCAAAATTAAACCCCAAATTCCAATAAATAAAAGAAAAAACATGTGAACTAAAGAGCATGTGCAGGTTTAGTTCTCCACTCTTGGTGCTTATGAACCCAACATGTCTACCCTACAAACTAATCTCAGCCGACCCACTTCTCAACACAATCCGTTCTTGCATCCAAACTAAGCAAATTTATGTGGGAGATCCCCATGTCAGATTCAGAGCATTTTGATTATGCACAAGGTCGACGAAAGAGACTTGTACCAGAAAAGCTTCACAAGCTGACTAATATCTTCCATGCAAATTCAGCTTTCTTCACCCATGTGTGTTGGGATTTTAGTTCTTCATGTTCTTCAAGCCTTACATGTTTCGTTGGTAAATGTTTTGTTGGTAAAGATCTAAAATGTTGGCTTCTTTCTTACGATTTTTCAATTCTCTTGTGCTGGGGTGGGGTGGGGGCACAAAATAATCCAGTGATGGGAAGGTTAAATGCAAGAATACCTCGTCACCCAATTAATCCACTCATGATCTGTGCTACAATTAAATATACAAAAAAAAAAATATTGCACACCCCATTTGGACAAATGACAAACTCTATGTGTTAAATTCAGTAACGTTAATTTTCTCGTTTTTATTATCTTTATAGGAACCCTAATTTGGTGTGGATGATGCTCTGATTAAGATTTTTTGTGATTTATTAGGGCAGCGCGGAACCACAGCCAAGACTGTGGTGGGCTGTAGGAAAGTTTTGAAGAAAAAAAACAACAATAAAATTATCTACTACAAGAAGTATGATGCCTTTATTTTTTTCTTCTTTTTTGGTAATTTTTTTTCCAGGAAAAGAACTAATATTATTATAACCAAACGCTGACTTTGGCATTAGTAGCCAAGGTATTAAACAGCCATTCAGGAGGAACAAAATCTTACTTACAAAAGATGCAATCTCATGAGCAGCTTTATTACAGTTGCGTTGCGAGGGGCATGAATAAAAATCACTTCTTGAAATTCTCTAGTCGCAGCCTGGATGTCGAAAAAAAAATCATTAGATTTTAAGCTAAAAATTTTAACTAGCCCACTTATTGAAAAATTCTTAATTCCGCCCTTGTACGACAGAATGAAAAAAAAATGTTTTTTTGCATCAAAGTACGTATGTAATGTTGATTGACATGGATGGAAAACTCAATGCAATTAGTTAAGGAGTAAAATCCTTTAGGGATGTTTTAATTTGAAGAAAAAGATGATGTGAAAGATTATGGCCTCTTTCGTTGATCACAACATTCTCATGTGAGCTTTGTCCCCTTCGTCACAAGGTTAGGTAGTTCTCCCAATCCCTTTCTCCAAAATAAAGCTTATACGAATGGAAACGCAATTAGTTGGAATCTTGGAGATTAAGGGAATGAAAAGGAATTTGTACCCTCCAAATTTTGCAGGACTGTGCATGGCCGTATCAATCAATAATCCATCATCATCATCATTTGATTAATTAAAATCGCATGATTTGATTGTAACCGGATAAGTGTGATTAACGGCGGGCGGGATCTAGTGACTAAAGCGTGATTAAGAGTCTCATAATGACCAAGACCAGCCAAAGTGGACAACGAGACCCACTTGCATGTGCCTCTCAAACGTACAAAAATGGAGTCCAATTAAGCATATGGCGTCACTAATAATAAAGATCAGAGGCTAAAAACTGGTGGAGTACATCTCTAATATCGTGGACCCAAATGCATGATGGGCAGGAAACCATTAAAAACTGGTTAGGTATTTGGTTTGAATAATTCTTGCAATCTTTATGTGGCTTTGGACTCCACGTATAATTAATTGGTTTCTTAATCAATATCTTTTTTCATGGCTTTTTTGAAGAAGACTTTGTGGAGCATGACACTGGTCTATGGTTGGCACTTGGGGGTTAGGGTCTATAATCTATAATAAGAAAAGTTAGAGGAGAATGGATTTGTTTAAATAAGTCACACTTCCACAAATTATATGAAGTAGGTACTTGAAGATTGTACGATATTGTCAAGAAAAAACCAAATAATATTATATAGATTATGTCGTGTGGTGGGTGTCTTCAACTAGCACTAGCACATAAGTACAAAGCTTTGTGTAAAAACGTTGCCGAGGCATGCACTACAACAAGGATTTTTGTTTAGTGCCAACCTTGTGGTTATTAGTATAAACTAATTACAATTAGTAAAATTTGTAATTGACGAACACATATGCTATTACATATGGAAATTAGATGAAAACGAATTACTTGAAATTAACATATAGAATATACGTGGGAGATGCTTCTTCTCAGAATCTCTTAAAATCACTCAAAGTGATTATATGGAAAGAAAAAAACACGTGGGAGGTTTCATAAAAAAAGGAACAAGTGGGAGGTGCTTATCCACATAAGTAATTCTAGACTATCCAAAATCATTCTCAAATGAGCTTCTCATTCAAACTACTTTTCATGTATGAAAATGATGCAAATAGTCGTGGAAATTATGGACAGCCTTGCAATTATATGGCTGTTATATGTCACCACCTACAATCCAGAGTTACAATCATGGAAGAATTGCATCTCTAGAAAGTTCCATAGCGGTATATAAACTTATTCTCTATCTTCACATATGCATAACTTTTACACAGCCTTAATTAGTAGAAACCCTTACTCCAACTCCAACAACTTCAATCTCCAGGAAATTTGGGTTTTTGCATTCCATTACGATTAAGTTTTTGCCTTATTATGATAAAAGTTACATAGCTTCTCTCTTTTATTTGCTAACAAAAGAGAGAAGAGGGGAAAGGGGAGGAAGAACAATGATTTTCTCCCCCAGTTTAAAGGTATATATATATATATATATATATATATATGTTAGAAAATCCTTCTCCTTATTCAGGTTATATTTTAATTAAACCAGACAACTAAAAAGATTTCTCAAATTGGACTTGCAAGTTTGAAATGAATTAATTAAGAATAGGGAATAGAAGATTGAATAGTAATCTTGACCAATATAGTCAATGTTTTACTTTTATATATATCATGCTAACCACTGTATAAACTAAGCCATAAAACCAGTCAACTTTCATCATGGATTTGCATGTCCTCCATCTTTTCATCTTCATCTTAAGGTGTCTAAATAAATTAATAAATAAAAACGAGAGAGAGAGAGAGAGAGAGAGAGAGAGAGAGAGATTGGAAAAGGGAGAGCCTGGGAGGAGCTCCCTTGAATTCTTTGATTTGAGTGTAACCACCACTGAAGAAAAACTGCTTACATGATCATAAGTATCAATAAACAATAATCACTAAAAAAAAAAGTTAATAAATCACGGTCAGAGCCGCCAATTATAATACAAATTAATCAAGGACGTCTAAGAATGAATGAAGCAGGTAGCCAGCCAAGCAAATTAGCTTCATCTCTCTTGCAAATATTTGTTTCAGACACCAAAAACAACAAGCCCTCCTTTCTTCATGATCAATCAATGAAATTAATATATTTGATGCATCAGAGAGCGAAAAACGACTTCTTCGCAAGGAATAGTCAAGCCCATGTCATGGTTAAACCCAAACTCCTCCTCTGCCCTTTGGAGCAGAGTTTGAAACTCTGGATGGCCCAGCCATGAAATTGGGATAATGTATCTGCTTCTGTTTTCACCTACATACACAGCAAAATGCCCCTTTGGCACATCTTCAGGAAGACCACCTTCATTGTTGTAATCATTTTTCTTCCCAAAACTTGAGCATCTTTTCAGAATCTGCTTGAGAGCTGCTGTTTGAGGAAGCTTGTTTGACTTCTTGCTGATTGCCATGTTCTCTGTGTTTTGGGTGATGTGCTTTGTAAACTTGTGTTTGCTTGCTTGCTAGCTTTGAATATAGTTTTACTTGGTTGAGAGAGAGAGAGAGAGAGATGAGAGAAGCGTGTGATGTTCTGGTGTGGAGATTGGAGGGGTGGAGAGGTATTTATATGGGCATAGTGGGAATGAGTGAATTGGTTTGAGAGAAAACAAAGCCATGTGAGATGTGGGGGCTAAGAACAACTCACAAGTCATTTGGGGAAAATAGTGTTCAAGGGCATGCAGTTAGCTAGCAAACCCCATTGGGGCTTGGCCTACCCTTGCTTCCCTCTAATTGTACACAACGGGCCCCCCCTCTCTTTCTCTCTCTTTGTACTACTTTCTATCTTACTCGTACGTGTATTTTGTTATACATACTGTCTTATCTAATCATCTTGTATATAGTATATCTCTAATAAAGACACGACTCACATTTGTAAAGAAAATAAAACTTACATATAATAGGATTGTCACGTATCACTATAGATGACGAGAGAGAGAAAAAGAAAGCTACGTTGCGTATGTACCCCGTTGCAAGTATATGAGGTTCGGAAAATTTGAGAAGGAATTAATTTGTCCCAATTTTGCTGTCAAGAACAGTGCCCTGGTTCTGTCCCTCTCAAACTGTGTCATCCCTTTCAACCCGTTAACCGCAATTAGAATGTGTCTTCAAAACTATTGATGAAGACAAGAATGCGTACATATATTATTGCTGTGTGGCCCAAATGAGTCCAAATTATACTTCTAATATTTTATAATATCATATTAATCTGCAATCTAGGAAAATACAAACACGATCAACTTTTAAAAGATACAGAAAAGTAGTGTTCCATCCATTACAAATTAGTCCTAAACTCAAAGAGATTAGCATTATAATAACCTGATTAAAGGTTAATGAAGGAGCCCTTTCATTAATAATGGTCAATTCCCTCGACATATCCTGTATTTTTCTAATGATTCAAAAAAGGAGGTGATGTATAAAAGTAAACTTTACATTTCATTGTCACACCATTGCATCCCACCAGCTAAAGAAATTGCCATCTGTTTTTGTTTGGTAAGCTTTTGGGTACGTACGTGCAGTCCAATTTTTGGTCAAAAAAGAAAGCCACTCTGTATTTTATTTAATAGATGAATGGGCAACCATTCTTTTTTTATTATTTTCTTTTGAGTTGAGAAAATTTAGGGTTGCATTCATAATTCAGTTAAAAACACTAGTCGCACAGAATCATTACAATAACGGAGCGATCTAACATCAAAATTAAGATAATTTAGTGCGCCTCCACTAACGATCACGCAGGATCGAAAAAACTCTAGCATAGACATCTCCACTAAAATCACAAAAACAATAAAAACAATAATAATAAAAATATTAAAAGTATGATCTGTGAAGATAGAATTATAAGCGACTAAATATTTAATTTGAATAATAATAATAATAATAATAATATCTTATCAGCTCTTAGATCAAATGCTAATTAGATACACATCACATCTAATGCTTTAACCTAAGTCACTTATGGATCACAACTCTTAATAATAAAAGGGAAAACAACCCCAGCTACCTAAAACCAACATAAAATCTGTCAGGAACGGAACAGATTTTGGATGGCAAATGCAATAGAAGCCTTTTTGTGAAAGGTGGTCCAAATAATGCAGCATTCACTTTCTATATATTTTCTTGGCTAAAGAAGAAAATCTCCACAACCCACTTTGATTTATCTTGATAAAGGTCATAAGCAACTACCCGCTAAATACATGTGTCATGTGGATATGTCTTTATATAAATAAATATTCAAAGTTAAAACGTCTGATTTTACAGTTCGCCTTATACTCGCTATTTGGTTTATGGACAAAATTGCCCTCACCAATGGGTGTAAGGGCTACAAGCCATGGTTAAAAATCCAGTTCCCTAACTAACTGCGTCTCTCCTTAGGGGACCAAAATGCTCACATTTTTTGTCTCACCTTTTTTTCTATGCTTGTTTGTCATGTACACAAACTCACATAAATAGAAACATACCAAACTTCCATATTGCCCAACAGCTAAAGGGCAGTCTTCCCTTAAGACCCTCCCAATGTCAGCGTAGTTGCCTAGGCCGCCAAAATGGGGAGCAAACTGCTCACACCTATTGGTGTTGCTTGCTGCCTTCTGGCACTGAAACTCATTCAGAACCAGAAATTTAAAAAAAATAAAAATAAAGTTAAATTCTTCAAACGTTATCAACTTTTGTAGATATGAATTCTTACCTGAAAATCCATGACAGATAATTGTAGGGTGCACATGTTCAACTTGAGTTCCTTGAGGTGCAATTAGTTTCGGAAATGTCTCACCATTCAAGACTGCCCATGTGGGATTTTGATAAAAACAAAAACCAGACCATACAGATATATATGCAAAGGAAGCTGGTATGTGAGGACACATATTCCTCTTCAAATGAGCACCACCAGTTTCAACTTACACGGTATATCTCTAACCTGACTCACTTTTTTGGGAGAATTTATTAAGCCATGTTCTAAGGCTCTCAAAAAGCCATCCTCAGAGCTTCAAGGTCAGCATGCCCATCTGTCTTCCTGCAACTTCACTTTCTTGTTTTCTTTCCCATTCCAAATGATTGTCCTGGATTCCTACATATATACGTACATACAAAGTCACAAAATTCGTATCATGACATCATGAACCAATTTTAATATTTAGATCCTCAATTACTCAATTCTCACTTTTTTGGTCTTCGAGTAAGGTTTTAGAATTCTATAGTGCTATCCAACTTTTAATTTTTTGTCACTTTGGTCCTTGAATCAATGTCCGTTCGCTTCTCTCTCAAAATTATAGAATTCAGAAACTGAATTGAGGGGGTAGAGTGATTTATTGGTAATAGTTGTGTCCTTTGGGGAAAACTCATTGAGATCCAAATTCCAATACCAACGAAACAAGTCGCAGTCTCGACGTGAGATTGAATAGAAAGAGTGGTGGTAATGTCTATATATGCGGCTACCCATGTTGTGGATATGAATATATACGGATAGAGCATATGAAGATCAGAATAGAATTGGAGTCAGTAGAGGCCATATCATCGTCACTGAGGCAGGGACCATGATTGCCAATCAACACAAGGCTCTTGTGTTGCAGATGATGTTTTCAACCTATACATCAATTCATGAACATGTGAAGGCCATGTTACTTTTGTCTTCAAGAAACCTTATAGAGACAAAATACAGATGGCTGCTTGAATTTGATGACAGCATCATAACTGTTGCTGACATTTCAGCTTACCAATCTAGTCATCTCAGAAAAACTTAGGCATCTAATTTACCTTAGAGTAGGGATATGAAAGATATCTAATTTACATATCAATGCATCAAAAGTCAGAATTCTCCAGCGTTGGCATGCATGCATCTCTCTGCATTTACATTCACAAGTCCTTTTGAACACGCAATTAATGTAATGACATTCGTTACTCTGCATCAGCACAAGTTTTTGAACAAATTAAGCTGTGAGAAAACCGATCAGCACAAGACCCAATCTGAGTTAGGTAAAACAAATTTGAGTCATCCATTTGATCAGTTCAATCTATCTTTGATCTCTTGTACTAGCAGTGAGAACCGAGGATCTTACATTTTCATTTAAGTCATACCTCAAATGGCTTCTGATAGTTCAACGTCAGAAATGGATTAATCAAAATATACATACAACTGCACATATGCATAAGAACATTCATACATGTTTTTACATTCATAGACGTCCATGCACATAAACTTCTAATTCTTGCCTGATGATATGCTGGGTACAATCCAATGTTGTTCCTACACTTCACTTCCGTTAGATCCAAAAGAGAGATTTAAACGAAATGGATATTCCCATAACTGCGACAATACACATGTTTACATCAATAATCATTCTTAGGCCTTCAGCGATCTACACTGCTGAGGAAACTTGAAGGATAATCTACCCTGATCATGTATATTCGTATCCAGAGGGTGGTTTGGACAGCTGGGGCACTCCATCCAACATACTCAGTTTTCTTCTCACGTTAACAATGTGGGCTTGCACCTATGAAGTTGAAGAAAGTGTCAAGAAGTTAGACCAGTCAAACAGGCATAAAGAAAGACCAAAACAACAAGAACTGATATGGACAACAGCACATGCAATCAGGCATAGCTACACGTGAAACCTGAGCCCATAACAAAAGTTGTAAATTACAAGATAAAACTTAATCAGAAGCATTCAAGATAGTGCAGGACACATAAGGCATCCTTCAATAACCTGGTATTAACTTGTCAAACTTGACCACATGTTACGAGAAAGAGCAAAACAAGTCACAAGAATTGACAAGGACAACAGTACTTGCAACATGGCATAGCTACTAGTGACACCAAGCCATAAATAAAACAATAAGTTAGAAGATAAAACTCAATCAGATGCATTCAAGAAAGCGCAGGGCACACAAGACAACCAGCAAGACTTTATCACAATGGAGTGACCTAGCCAGGATACATATACAGTATAAAAAAAGAGAAGCAGATCAGAATGACCAGCCCGACATTGAAGCTAGTAATAGCATGTAATCTCTAGCGAGTAACCCTAGACAGCAGTGCCTTAACATGACACCAATAAGCATGATCATACAAGCTCTTATATTAACAAATTAAAATAAAATAAAACAAACGAGTGTTTTCATTCTTAACAGGTGAAAAGGGGGCGGGGAGGTAATAAGTTAAGAATATGTTAGTTAAAAAATAGTAGTATTTTACAAGGCATAAACGCAGTACAAATGGAGCCGAAGCCACATTGATTAGTTCAAAAAGAAAAGGAGATAGCAACCAATTCTAACCTCCTGACGAGCCGCTGCAAGTTTTAAGAGCTCATCAGGCTCTGAAAAATTCAAGAACCACTGACTAAGGGGATGATCTTTTGTGTCCCCTCGTCCCTTTTCATACACGCGATCAATCGATTCTGTAGAAGTCAACATATGAAGTTTAAAACCAAAGGAATGTAAGAAGCAGGAGTTGAAAAACCAGCAATGCAAGAAATTTACCAGGATTAGGCAAGTTAAAACCAGCAGGCAAACGTGGCACTACAACAGCTGGATGGTTCTGCACACGAGCAACAAAGGCTTCTGAAGGATCAGGGAAAACTAATTCATTGTAAGATTCCATAACAACAGGTCTCTTGGTTGACTGGGGCCCAGATTCGTCTTCAGTATATAACTTCAAAGGGTGAAACCTGCAGATGATATGAGCTCCAGTAATTATTGATCTGCCTTGTGGGCCTTTTCAAGCAGATGAAATCAATATCACAATATGCAACTCACAAGTCCAACTGTCTCTCACAGACATCACTGTGGAAGAACAGACTGATGGAAATTTCAAATTCACCCCAACCACATTCTGTTAACTCAAATGGGGGTGAATCAACCACTCTCATAGGGTTATTGAAACTAGGATGCAATTGAAATATAACTCGCTTTACCACCACCCCAAGGTCTTCGTTTGTTGCCCCACGAACATAAACCGTCCACTTATGGGACTGAGACCTAAATAACAGAAAACAATACAGGAAAATGATCAAATAATCTACAAAAAGAAAAACGCATACAGCAGGACCCAAGCAAATGAATACTTACTCACTGGCCTTCCTACCAAGATAGAATGCGATTGTCCCATACACTATTGGCACACAAATCTCGACATCCTTAAGTCTCCTGTTTGTGCCCTATGAAAATCCAAATAAAAAAGCATCATAAATGTTTATTGAAAAAAGAAAAGGAGATGGGCATTGATTACAGCTAAACAAATTTTCCGGGTCTTCTAGCCCCATAGTACAAACCTCATATTATCTAATATAATAGAGGGTGCTACAAATTGGCATAATGAACACGAAATGTCAGACCTAAACATGGAATTCAAATATATGGAACCAACAAATGCATAAATCTTTTAACGTTAGCTCGTTGCTTCCTCAAATTCAATAACTCAGAAACACATAACTACAGAAACTAACAGAAAAAGGATAGATTTTATAGAAGACAAAGTGAAAAATTCAAAATTTTCAGCCTCATAGTTACATTCATAGAAACCCACAAAAATTTTAGCCCACGAACAGCACAAGAATGGACTACCTTCTTGTCGGTATCTTCAGCAGACTTGGAAATGCGGATTGACTGTGACGTTTGTGCAGAACCACCCTCCTCAGGCTGAGGCTGAGTTTCACCTACTTTTCTGACTGACATTGTGACCCAAATTCAAGCTTCCGTCTTTGTCAATTCAAACAGAGCAATGAAAACACAGAGTTGAACGCACACAGCACAAAAGGGTTTTGATTTTGCGAATTCGTATGGCACAAATTGGGTATCAGAAAGGGCAAATTGGAGGTATAAAGGGGGTTAGGGTTTTAGTTCATTTGCTTTTGGTTGGGTATTTTCAGCGGGATTTCGAGCTCTTTTATTTTTTCCATGCGAAAATACAAATTTTTTGACCAAAGTGTTTTTTTGTTGTTGTTGTTGTATTGGATGACGTCTAAATAAAAGGATAACATTTATTATTAGTAAAAAAAAATAAAGAAGATGACATTTGTTTCTACACGATTTTTAAAAAAAAAAAAGCGCCCAATGGGCTACCATGACAAAATTCAATACTCAGCTCAGCCAGCCTACCATGACCCTCAATACTCGAATTTTTTAATTTTTTGATACAAAGAAAATTGAAAAGATATCATTTAAATACAGAATGAATGCTGAAGTAATTTCTCGTAACCACTTATGCTACACGCCCCTCAATACTTGAATTCTTAGCCAAGTACCACGCTTGATATAAAATATTTCTAGTTAAAATATCATCCGACAAATGCAGCATTGGTGGAACATATTCAGATGATTAACAAATGAGATTTGCATTCCAATTAATGTACGATTTTCTGCGTTCGGTTAACAACAGCATAAATGCACAACCAGATAATGAGTTCAAGGGGGCTCTTCACAATGTTACAATCGAAAGAAAGGGTCTCAGACAGAGATTGCTATCCAGAGTCGCTCATTCCTTGTTTTCTTTCTGGTATGTTGACGGGCGGGTGGGATTGATCCAAATAGTGTTGCAAAGCAAGCCACCGGACATCAACCACCGGGCAGGCGAGCGTAACAGATTAGATGTTCGAAGCACTCAAAGCCATCACCTTGCATTGTTCATTCATGGCCAGAAGTTGGGCCTCTTTCTTGTCAAGAAGAGCACTCAGCTTCACATTTTCTTCCATAAGTTTCTGAACTTCTGTCTCTTTCTGGATTTTCTCACCCTCTAACTGTGTTGTTTTTGCGACTAGCCTGTTTCAAAGCAACATCATATGATAAAACAACAAAACATTTCCATCTAGGGTATATGGATGTAGAAAGGGATGAGATGGCATCAGATTACTGCACAGGCATAAACATATGACTGCTGCTGCTGAAAAACATAAGAACAAGACATGCAAGTGCACGAGTGTGCCCGTATGCAAAAGCTAAAGCTACCTTCTTGACCAAATGATCTAACAATACCCGACTAAAAACCCATTTTATTATCTGCAAAATAGCTCCAGAAATTCCAACTTCCGGAAGACCACTCAATTGTATGACCAAAGCAATTAAAAGAATTTGAAAACTCAGCACCTAAATAGATCAAACCAACAATTTCTAAATCAGTGCTTGGTAGTTTCATGCTTGATATGTCAACCAGCAAGATCTGAACAATACAGTGCCAAGCAAAGCACTCAATCAGTGATAACTGCCAGGACAACTAGATGCAAGCAACAGTGAAACAAGGGAGGGCTCAACCTAGTAAAGAAACAAAAAAGAAATTCTAGCAAAAAAATCTGGCATAACCAACAAAATGATAGAAGAACAAGCACTTGATAATTGAGAAGAATGAAAATCTGTTGAGTGCAGAACAAAACATACTGACCGCTCAAACAGCTTTTCAATAGTTTGGAACTGCTTCTCTGATGAAAGCAGTGTTTCTCGTACAGTGATGAGACTGCTAACATATGATTTTAGAGACTCAAAGTCCCGCTTCACACGACAAAGCTCCTGTTCATTTTCTGCAGCTCGTTGACGCTGTCTATATGTTTCTTCAACCAAATCCTCAACTCTCTGCTTCATTTCCGTTAGAATACCATTTGTACCTAGAGCAAACCGTTCCATCTCTTCTAACTTCAAAGACATATTCTCAATTTGGATAGACTTTTTCTTAAGTTCCTCCGCACCAACAGTTACCTTCTCCTTCTCAATTGCAGTTTCGGATTCTGCCAGTACAACTCTCTTGACAAGAGCTTCCATTACGTCTGTAACCATCTGCACAGACTTAAGTAGTTCACCAATATAAGTTGCATCTTGTTCATCCAGAGGACCATGTTGCTTACTAATCCCAATCCAAGTGTCTTCATCTGGACTATCAAAGGAAGAAAGATCAACATTCCTAGACCAACCAGACAACGGTGTGCCATCTTTATCAACAAGCCCCACCCCTTCCAATTGTTTGATGCCACATGATGTATGCGCTAAATGAGGAACAGCCATTAATCTTGCTTTTGATTTCAAGTATGTTAACAGTGTTGCGGTAGTTTTAACTCTCCGCCAAAGAACCTCTAGTTCCTTTTTCGAATCTTCCTCAGACCCCTCTATACAAACCTTCACCTCCATAAGCTTTTTTTGTAATACATCCACTTG